GTGATTACTTTATAGAAAAAAAAAAAAAAAAAAAAAAAAAGTGAATTTCTCCTCATTTTGCTCTGGAGAGAGAGGAAAAAAAAAGAAGAAAATAGTGAACTACCAGCAAAATAGCTATAGGTGCATTTACATAGGCATTTACACTTGAATGGATTTTAGATAAACTGTTTCCTCTTCTGGAATGCTGTGATAAATAAAATATATATATATATATATATATATATATATATATATATATATATATATATATATATATATATATCTATCTCTCATAGAATTAAGGATTTTTTTTTTTTTTTTTTTCATTTTATGCAAAGTTTTAACTTTTTTGAAACTGATTTCATTTAAGTTTTTCTCCTGATATTTTTTTCATACTTCTAAAATCATTCATTCGTTGAAATGGTTGAGAAATATTTTACCTAAAAATTGGACATCACAAAGTGATCATGAAAAAGAAAACTGAATATAATGTAAAATCACAGATAAGAATTAATATTTCAAGGAAGGAAGGTGAAATGCACATCTTGGGACAAATACAAGAGCCAAATTTGTAGAACCATTTTTTGCTGTCGGTTTCTTTGTGTTTATTGGGGTTGTTAGTATGCAGCCCTTTTTATGATTAATCATGTAATATTGTCTTTGGTAATGTTTCTGAAAAGGACTGACTTTTGGTCACTTCTAGTCACAAAGAAACCTGTCCTTGATCCTCATGTCACCTTCCCTCAAGACATCAAAGCACAACTTTTAAATTGTCAATCCCACAAAATATTATTATGAGCACATATATGTCTTTGGATTAAATCATACAAACTGTGTCGATTACAAAAAACAGTTGACACAACAATACTGTGTAGTTGATGACCTAAAAAAAAAAAAAAAAAAAAACAGAACTTTGGTTTTTGCCTCATACCAAACTCCCTGACTAAGAAATAAGATATTTACCAAAAGTTTTGTAAAATCAAAAGCTAAACTAATTTTCAGTCTAATTTTGGCAAACAACTTTCTAATAATCATTCATAATCTAACTCTCTAGAAAAAGCAGGTAAGAAAGACAAAGAAACTGGGTGGATGTTAGTTTTTGTTCAGTTTTTAGTTTATTGTATTGAAAGATCTCTAATGCCTTAAATGTAAATATTCTTCAAATTTGAAGACAAAACAAGGAAGACTGGAATTTATAGAAAAGGAAAAATCCGTACAAAAATGGATTTCTATCAGGGCTGGAAATCAAGATGCACAAAAACAAAAAACAAAAAAAAACAATTTCTTTTCTTTCTTATTAAGTAAATATCAACAGATATACATATTTTACAAGTATTCATATGTATTTGACAGATTTATACTTTTGGGGGTATTGTGGATTTTACAAGTTTAAAGATTGATCACTGAGTGAGAACCATTAAAATTTTCATTTAATGTAAACTAATGTCACAAAGTTAAAATGAGAAAGCAAATTAAGGACCTGTTGGTGTCCTCAATCTTTTGTGTAGACGTTAAAATATGAAGAGTTGTTGTTGTTTGATATATTTTGTTGTTCACCTACATTGTCCTGTGAAACTGACAAGTCTAACAGATCAACCATAGAATAAAAAAGTGGTCCTCATAATTTTGTTTAAAGGTTAAAAGTTACAAACAAGACATATTTTGGAGAATGAGGTGGAATTTAAAGTGACCCCAATTATTGTAATGTGAATCAGTGGGAGGGGAGAAAAAAAGGTCATGGTGCAAGTGTGAATTGGTTATTGCTAATTTACAGTTGTTGAGCATTTACAAAATAACAAGAAAACAATAAATGAATTGGCATCTGGAGGAAATGTATTTATGGAGAAGATTGAATGTTCAAACAATTGGAGGGGTGGGATTAAAGATGAAAAAAAGTGAAGAAAATATGAGCTGTAAAATGAAGAAGAATTTTGTGAATTGGTCTTAAAAATGAAATAGGAGAAGACAATTCAGGGATTTTTGAATGGGGCCATTATGATGAAGCCAATTTTGAATGAAGAGAAAATTAAACTTATACAATCCAGAATAATTCATATTCTTAATTAAAAAAAAAAATAAATAAAAAAATGTCACTTTTCATGTCCTGTTCAAAGAAAATTCTTGTTTTCTTTGTAAACTTAGTTTAAATATTGGAGACTATTTTTTAATGAGTTTAATAGCAAACAAAAAGTTTCAAGTTTGTTTTTTCCACTCAAACTTAAGGACATTTTCCCACCAAATAAACTCTTAAATTTAACAGAAAAATCTATTTTTACATATTATTGTTATTTTAAAGGTCCTCTAGATAAAGCCTCTTATTTTTAATTTACAATATAAACCAATTAAAAATTTTAAATTGATTTTATGCACATTATTTTATGAACTTGATTTTGTATTTTTAAACAACAATCTTTTCAGTGCCACAAGCTCGTTAGCCACATTACAAAATCAAATTCAGTTCTAATTAAAAAATTAAGTAAAAATGGATTCATAGACAACAAATGTTTGTGGCTTTGCACTATATCAAAATTTTGGTTAATAAATACAAAAATAATAAATATTCTCTAAGATAAAAATAGAGGTTAAAGAATTTGGTAGAATTTACAAGAACAATCTTTGAACAATTTCTTTATAGATTCTTCAGGACATAATTCAACAGATTTTGTAGTCGAGGCATGTCATCTAATATTTAATAATTACTTTAGACAAATTTATTTTTCACTTAGGAGGAGAGAAAATCTGATGAAAACTTATGGAAAACAAAATCTCAACCTCTTGATTTTGAAAACAAATTTGAATAAAATCTCTCAACAAACAAATAACTTTGAATCATTTTTCTTTTTTAAAGGATTAATTCTGCCCTATAAAATTTTTCCTTCTTTCCCTTTTGATTAATAAAATTGCCTTATTTATTATGGATTATGGATTATTATACACTCATGTATTAGTGTCCCCATCATGGCTGTTGTAACCTGCAGATTTGTTCATGTGATTTCAAAGCAAAACATTTATTCAATCGTTAGAGTAGATGTTCTCACTCCAATACAAAAGAAAATCTCAGCAGTTAATTATTCCTAGTTAATACGTCTTTGTGTTGTCCTTTGTCACTTCCACTGAACCAGTATGTAAGACTTTCTACAATAGCCAACACAGGGATTGAACTCACTACTGCCAGGGAACCAAGGTGGTTGTGTGTTCTAGAAGACCAACTAAGATGACAAGGATAAATTTACAAAGACAAATTGATATGAGATTTCTTCTGACATGGAGAATGCAAGAACAATCTATGCCAGTGAATTGAATAAAATGGATCCCCCATCCCCTCAAGATGGTTACCAACTACATCAGACACATGAAGAAAGCCAGAAGGTATAATGGCCAAAACATTGCAGCTAGAACAAACCAAGATAGAGAATTCCTCATCCCCTTGATATGGTTACCAACTACATCAGACACATGAAGAAAGCCAGAAGGTATAATGGCCAAAACATTGCAGCTAGATAGAGAATTCCTCATCCCAATAACTCAGACAAAAATTGCCTTATTTGGAAGAGATGCTGCGAATATAAATAATTCCTTCTTCAGCCAATGTGTTGTCAATAAGATGCAAAGTTTTGAGGAATCTCTACATAAATTCTATACAAATGCAAACAAGCAGATTTTCTACAACTACTAAACATTGATTCTTTTAGACTTGTGTCTCCTCTGCTTTGTTGTCACTTCTAATGCAACATTTTATCTGCCACATGTTGATTTTCCCCCCCAAAAAAGATTATTTTTACATCAACTTGAGAAAGCGGTCAGAAGCTATAACCAAATGATGACAAAAACAAAACAAAAAAGATCCTGATTTAAAAGAATTAATGTAAAAACAGCTTATTGGAAAAATCCAGACAAACATTCCAACAACCATTTTAAAAGTTATAATCACATTAAAAAACGACTTGTGTAAAGTTGCATGAATAATTTAAATCAGCCAAAAGTATTGAAGATTTTCTGACATGATCTTATGAAAAATTTCAAACGTAAAATCGGTCTTCAATAACATTACTTTCAATCTAAATTGTCTAATGAAAAGAAGGTTCAAGACACGATAATGGACAGCAGTGTAAAATCATGTCATGTATTGCAACGTGTATTATATAATGATGAAATGAATGATTACGAAAATTGGAATATCTACCTTGCAAGAGGAAGTTGGAGTTTATACACTTTGCTATTTACAAAACTATAAGACATGTTTTATCAATATTCAGTATAAATAAGTAATGGTAGGCCACCAGGGTAGGGGGTTCATACTGGGGTCAGTACAGGTATTTTAAAATAGTTTTTGTGCAAAATTGAAAAAAAAAAAAAAAAAAAAAAAAAAAATTTTTTCCTTTTTGGTTGATACATACATTTGGTCTCTTCTGAAATCTAATTCTAATTTCCTGTTTGAATACCAGGAAGAAATTCAAGCAGGTACTGTGCAGGCAAGAATGGTACAAGGCCAACTAAAAATTGGGTGGGTTATGTGGGTGGGTGAGAGTTGTTAAAATTTGCGGCTTTTGGTTTTCGTTATCATAATGCATAAGTCTACTGCCACCAACTGTCTGATGGAATCATCGTAGTAGTAGTAGTAATTGCAACTACCAAAATGACTTTGGATAGTCAAGGTCAATAATAATGTCAAATAATAATCAACTGACCAGCCAGCTAACAAGTCAAATTTTGTTCCTCTAAGTTTTTTTTTTTTTGGTCAATTTTTTTTTTTTTTTTTAAATGATGAGAAACTGAATTTCTCTGGTTTGTTCAAATATTTGTCAAGCTAGACTGACTGGTGGTTGTTGTTTTTGTTGTTGTTGTTCTGCTGAATCTAAAAGTTTGGATTTGATTATTATTTTTTTTTTTCAACTTTTTTTTTTTTTTTTTTTAATTCGACTGGAATGTTGATAATTTATGCAGCTTTTATTTTTTTTTTTTCACACGGAGAGAACAGGACGGGAGAACGGCCATTTGCTGAGTCCCTCCGTTATTTGTTATCAGGAAGGCCCTTCATTCACATAATTTTCAAGTTCCTCAAAACACTGCAAAGCCTGAAACTAAAGAAGGAGAAAAAAAAACATTTCAAAATACTAAAACAAATTTATAAACAAATATTACTAGAAAGCAATCAGAGGGCCTATGCTAATGTTACTAAAAATTAAACGAAACTCAGTTCATAGATAAGACACAGGAGAAGTATTAGGTTGGTCGGAAAATAATGTCCAATTTTAGAATCAAATTTTATTCCCAATATATTTTAAGTGTTTAAATATGTCAAAATAAGAACACTGAACATGTAATATATTTCTACAATTGAGTTGTAAGGTTACTTATGTCTTTAAGATAAAATCTAAAGGTTTTGATACCAAGAAACTTTGAATGTAATTTCTGCATCTTCTTTGCAACAGAATGTCTTCCGACTTAAAAAATTGTCAAGATGCTTTAAAAAAGTGGTAGTCAGTGGGTGAAGAATTAAGGGTGTGGGTATACAAAAAGCTATTATCTCCCTTTGGTTGAGATGATGTCACATGGGTTACATGATGGTCACTTCATAAAATGACAAAAGTGGCCAGCCTGTCAGTCAACTGCCTGCAGTCAAGACAACAGCTGTTCATTCTGCCCAGACCACCACCCAGCTGCCATGTGGGCAGAGCTTAAAAACCTATGACATCATTATCCCTTTGGAATATATCTTCACCAAGTATAGAAACTATCTTTGGTGTGCAGTCCTCATGTTAGGAAAAATCCATGACTCATTGTTTCCTGTTTGAGAGGAATAGGTCCTCCTTAGTGTCATAGCAGATAAATCCAACCCACTTGAATCTGAAATCCTAAATATGGCTTCCCCAGAAACACAGGAGAATCTCTAGCAGTTCCAATTCCCATTGTAAAGTAAGACCCTATCTCCCCACCCACCTTTTCACACTGTTTATTGTGTAGACATGAGTTGTATTTTCTCTGCATGGAATATATGTAAATATGTGTATATAATTTTGCGTACGACTTAGCAGTATAAAACACTCTCTGAGCTTGTTTGCCATTCCTTTTCATCTGTAAAATAAGGTCTTATCATATCATGGATATAATGCCAATAATGTGAAAAATACAAACTGGGAGAATATTTCTTTCTTCTGTAGTTCACCCATTATCTCGTGACTTACTCGACATGATATTATTAACCTCCATCAACTGGTTAAACAATTTGATATTATACATTCATTAATTCAGTTAGCACTTTTTGCGCTACTGTGGTCATCACTCCCCCACATTTCTGTTGTAACTGTGATTTATGGGGCCCACATTGAAGGCAAAAGAGTATAATGGATTGCCAGTTCCTTTTGCACCAGGGATCTTAAAGTTACCTTGTCCCTCCTCTCAGAAGGACCTCCACCCACGAGTAAAGACAACTAGCCGATATCATGGCATGGAGAGAGACATTCACCTTCACTAGTCAGGTCAGGAAATTCTTCTGACTACCCACACATAATTTGACTGAGGTGTGGCTGTTGCAGTGCCCATGTAATTCTTGGAGCCATGTGTGAGAGTTGTGGATGTAGGCCATGGATCATAACAGTTCCACATCCCAGAGTAAAGCAAGGTCAACAGATTCACTGCAAAGGTACTATCACTGACGATATATGTATATATATATATATATATATATATATATATATATATATATATATATATATATATATATATATTGCACTGGATGTTAGAGTAAATAGTTCATCATCAAATGTACTAATTATTATTATATTATGACTATTACTTTAAATTACAATAATATAAAATCAATCAATCAATAAGTAAGAAAAGAATAAAAGTATCAAATATGAGAACATTTTTACTGTTGTTAAACATATTTTAAAAAAACATAATAGAGGAAGAAATTGACTATTTTGAACGAATAATAAAAAAGTAAACAAAAAGTTATGACTAGAAACGCTTTTCCTACAAATCTGAAAATACGTCCATGTTCATTACAATCAATAAATAAGAAAAAGATAAATGAATATAATTATCAGCAAATGTTTTTAAAAATAATTGAATGATTAAATGATAGGGAAAGAAATCAATAACATTGAACCAATAGTGAAAGATAAACAAAAACTTACGACCCAAAATCCTTTTCCTACAATTTCAAAAATTTCATCTTCTTTCATAAAAAATGTTACACTTAAATATAAATCAAAGTTGAATTATTTGTGCGAATGTAAGTTAACAAATATAATGTATTAAAGGTTCTTAATATAATAATTAATGATAATAGACATTAAGGTAAGTTTGCTAAATAACTTATTTTAAAAATAAAATAATTGATATATACCATGACTTATCTTAAAAAAATAAACAAATATGTATTTTAATAATTAGATATTAAAGGCATAATAATAGAATAAAAATTATAAAATAATAAAGTAAAATATAAGAATAAATGGATAATTACAATAATCAAAACTTTGATTTTAAAATATTTATATCACTTTCTTTGAGTGATGAAAAACACATCCATTCACACCAACATCAGAAATTTTTTTTTTTTTTATAATTTTTTTTAGTGATATTATTATTAGTACCCCATTAACTAGTAACCATGATGTAACATTATATTTAACCTCCATTACAGGAATATGGTGAATGTGGCAAAGTTACATGACCTAATTCAGTGAGCTTCTACATTGTCATCTTGGCAACATGTGAGCAAATATTATCAAGAAGAATTGGACCTTGTCAATTAACCAGTGTTAGTCACATTTTTTTTAAATATGACTATTGCAACATGAAACACTGATATTTACATAATTTAGCACAAGGTTAAATGGACAAAGTTGGATAAGGAAGATTGTGTTGCACCAATTTTTCCAAATGAGAAAAACTTGCTTAAAAAAAAAAAAATTAAAAAAAAATCAATATTTCAAATCCACCTGTACAGGTGCCAGTTGGCAATTACTAAACTATTTCAGCTGCAAAATCAACCAACATCTTATAAACTTTGTTGCTGAAAATGCTTTCTATAAAAACAACATATTTTTCAAATTGACATTTTTTTATGGCATGATGGACATTGTAGAAAATTGTCAGTGGTTAGTCATTAAAACAAGTATTATTAACAGAATATATGTATATTTTGAGTATGACAAGACAACAAACCTTATCTTTCAATTGTTGAATCTGCTGAATTGCCAAAGTAAATAACATTACTGCTTCATTTAACCACTTCACTGTGCATTCCACCTAAAAAAAAAAATTAAAAAAAAAATACCATTAACATATATCATCAAGCTTAAAATATTAACATTAAATTTATTGTCTATATTTTTTTAGCTGATTTAGGACAATTTTGATGTACTGAATTCAAAAATCAAATTGGTTTTTCTCAATAAGGTCAAGTTTTTGAGCTATGGCCATATGTTGTTTTTACATTTTTGTTTACATTGTCATGTTCATTAATATATCTAAATATACAACATATTTCACACAATAAAACTAATTATTATGTTAATTATAAGCTTATTAATTTTAACCTATCAGAAATATTTTCAGCCAAATATAGCTTCATAAATATTAAGACACACCTCCAAAAAATATTTATAACATGAAATAAAGTGCTTATGTCTCAAAACGCACCAATTAAACTGTAGAATACAAAACCATACAATACAAAGTAGTAGTATTAGTTGTGGTGGTGGTGGTGGTGTTGTTGTAAAATGCTCCACATCCTTTTTCCCAAAAGGAACTAAATGATCTAGTTTGCAATTTCAGGATGTCAAAATCCTCTACTGAACTGTTGACATCCAGATTGAAGGGGGGGAAAAAAAAACTTCCTTTCTGACAGTGCTCACATTACCTTCTATTGCAATTTTGTTCCCTGAAGAGATAGACTTGATGTATTGTACAGATATTGTTTAGCTTCTGCATAAAATTAGAATGCTACAGTATGAACCCAAAGATTGGAGATTATTCATTGAGAACAGCAAGTGATCACTGAAAAGTGTTCTGTTGCACAATGGCAACAAGTTTGCCTTTGTACCCTACACTGACTCGACTACACTGAAGGAAAAATATGAAGCAGTGAAGTATGTGCTGGAGAAAATTCATTATGATCAGCACAAGTGGTTTATTTGTGTTGATCTGAAGATTGTGAACTTTTTATTGGAATAACAGTACAAGTTCACCAAATACCCATGCATGTGTGATAGAAGGGACACTGCTCAGCATTACATGAAAAAGGACTGGCCTGAAACAAATGTACCAATGTCAGTTCAATTCCTTAGCTAAGGTCTTTTAAACAACTCTCCTTTCAAAATAAAAAAAAAGAAAGGAATACTGCCTGCATAAACTCAAACTATTAAATCATAATTGCAAATAAATACTTCTATTCACAAATGTTCAACCAAATGACAGATCATCAAACTAGAGACTCTGAAATATAAGGTTTTGAACATCTTTGAGAGAATCTCCTTAGTAGTAAATGGACAATAAAAAAAAAAAAAAAATCAAAGCATGGGCAATATTAAACATCCAATTTTTAATGACATCTGCTTAACTCTGATGACTTATTTGATGTGCTATTTACAAAAATAGCTCAACAACCAACCCAGATTTCCTTGATACAACTTGATCACAAGTGTTGAAAAGTTAACTTACCCAAATATTTGTTGTATTATCCTTAAGACATTTTGTACATATAAAATTGTGTGTTTATTTACAGTGGATAAAGGCGTTGGTTAGATCCAGTGACAGACCCAAAGAAGGTGAGTTCAATACCTGGTTAAGGCAGTGGAGAACTTTCAGAGGGAAAATTAGCAGGAGATAACTGATAACTGACATCCATCAAACATGGCACGTGGAACTAGAACAGTTTATCCCAGTGATCGAAATAAAGGGTTCAGTTCGAAATTCCAACCACCTGAAGAAGGCCGGAGCGTACAACGGCAGAAACGTTGTGACAAATATGCCGACAAAGATGAGGACAATAGTCCGACTATTGTAAATACTGTACATAATACCTCATCTCAGAAATATAGACAGACTCTGAAGAATTTTCTTGTTATATGCTTACCTGGTGTCTGGCAGAGACCTCCATCTTTTGAAGTTGGGCATTGTGGTGCAACTGATAGAGGGCCAGAATCAGCTTGGAAGTGTGAATATAAAAACTGAGGGACACACTGTTTGGTATAGATGGTTGAAAGACTTGCTATACAAAATCAAAAGAAACATGGCACACAGGTATTAATTATTTTACAACATAGATTTTTCATTCATTTTGTATAAACAAATAAAAATAGACATTTATTTGTTATTAACAATTTCCTAGTATTTCTTTCAGTTTTTTCAGCCACAGACTAATTTTTTATTTCTGATTTGTGCTGCTTACTAATAATTGTAGAATTGCAATAAAATGCAACCAAAATAAAAGAAAACTTACCACTACTATTTATTAGAGATTGTATATAAAGAAAATGGCAACACATCAGACATTGAGGTAAAGAAAGAAAAAATAAAAGCTAGATGGTTAAACTTTAAGGAATGGAAACAGTCACCATTCAAGGTGTCATCAATAAAGAAATTGCCACAGAAAGTAACTGACTTTAATTAATCACTTTCCTTTTTTTATATCCAATAGAAAATATTTTAAAAAGAGATTATTATTTTAGTTTTCAAAGATATTCTAGCTTTCAAAAGTAGTGAGTTTTATAAAGACTGAATATTTTCAGGACAAACCCATTAGAAAAAATAATTATGGAATAAAATGGAGCAAATTTGGATTAAAGAATAGAACATTAGGTTTCAAAATGTTTTTTATTTTCCTATTCATAAGTGACCATCTCACATGTAAAAACTTTTTTTTTTTCTTTGTTAGTCCCATTGTCAAGGTGCCATAGTATGAGGAAAAAATATTTCCCGATTTATATATAAGCACTTTCAAAATCAGGAGATGGTCACCTGAATAAAACTATAACATTTTACCGACTAAATAATGAATGAGTTCAATTGAACAAGAAGAATCCATTTTGTAAATCTTACCATATTTTGATTGTTCAGCAATTCTTCCACAGATTTACGTCGAGGAAATGTCAAACAAGTTCTTCCTTTCTTTATACTTTCCATAACTTCATCCAGAAACTAAAAAGAAAAATTTTCAGATTTATGAAATATTAAAACTTCAGTATTCCAAAAAGGGTGGACCAATAAGTCTGTAGCCTGAGATGCTTATTATCTGAAATTTAATTTGACATTTTCCACTGTAAAAAGTTAAATCCCAAAGTAGCACCACCAAATCACCATATGTTCCAGCCACCATTTTCAGATAGTTTACTACATATATAAACTTTTGGATCTATCTGCAAATTCTAGTAACTATTTTTGGGGGGACCAGAATATGAAAAGTGGATATATGGCAAATTTGGTTTTAAAGAATGAAAACAAGAATGATCAGAGCAGAAAGATTATTTGGTTTAATAGTCTCTTAAAAGAGAGGTATGACAATAATGTGTTTTCTTTCTTTTTTTATAAAAGATTGTTGATAAATACTTACTGGTTACTAGTAAGCTCCCTAAAACTTTTGATGAAAACCTGATAAACTTGAGCTGTTGTTGCAAAGACAACATAATCTATTTACACTATTTACATTGTTCAGACTGTTATCCTTATCTTTATAGCAATATTCATGACATTTCGGCCATTGTACATTCCAGCCTTCCTCAGGTGATATTAATTAGGATTTCAAATCAAAGCCTTTATTTAGTCCATAGGGATAGAAAAGGCTGAAGTATACAACAGCTGAAACATTGTGAATATGGCAATAAAGATGAGGACAACAGCTCAAACAATGTAAATAGTTACAATACCTCGTCTCAGAAATATAGACACAATATAATCTGACAAATAAAAAAAAAAAAAATTAATAACATCAAAGTATGGTCTACAAGTGATACTAATTGAAACTCCTCTTGTAACTGAAGGAATATCCTGGGGTTCAAATGCCAAATTACAACTAGAGTTTACTTTGTAATTGTAAAAAAAAAAGATGAAAAATTATTTGGACTATTGTCCTCATCTTTGTTGTTATCACAACGTTTGAGTTGTTGGGCTCTCCAGACTTTATCAGGTATATGTTGGTCTGGGTAACCTACAGGGAAATCCAAACTGAACCCTTTATTTAATCTACAGGAGTAGATTGTTCTCGTTTCACTGTCCATGTCTAGAGATATCTTGTCTAGTTCTTATTTTCAGTACTGCTCATTTATGGCACAATGCCCAGCCTAAGGATTGAACTCACAATTACTATGTCACCAAAATTACAAACCAACACATTAATCCATTAGGCTATTATCCTATGTAACAATTCTCTGCATTACATTAAACCTAACCAGCCTGCTACTGAGTGCTGCTACTGCTGCTTGATTGTACCCAGTGAATATGTTCTCTTTTGTTACAGCTGCTGCTATTAAAGACTTACTGTCAATTGTCTGTCTTTCTTTATTAGCAGCTCCCATATGATATTTATATATATGCTAGGGGCCTAAAGAGGTCCTCATAGTCTAACAAATGTACTGATTCTTTCATATGTCTAAATCTCCAGTGTACTTCCTTATCCAGGATTTTTACTTCATTCCAGTGGTTGATGGCTACCTTTTCCTTCCATACATGATCAGCTATGCCGGATTTCATTGTCTCATTCATCACTACAGCTTTTTGATATTCCTCCAGCCTTACTTTTAGCGGGCAGCTTGTTTTACCTTTATATTCTTTGCCAACTTCAAGGAATGGAGTACAATTAATTCTTGGTCATGTTCTCCTCCCATGTTGAGCTTTACTCAGCATAGATTTCACTGTTGAGTGGAGTTGCTTCTGAATAAGTCTTGTTGTATGGGCCACAGTTTTTTTTTCCAATAAGCCCTTGCTACAGACTATTTTATGTTTGTTCATAAAGAGGCTCAGACTGAGAGAAAGTGACAAAAAACAGATTAATTACTTTTTTTTTAGATGAAGATGACAGAACAAAGAAAACTATTGTCTATAAAACTATCCTGCAGAAAGGGAAATGGAAGGAATGATGCAAGCCACAGACAGACATAGAATATGGCTGCTGAATGGCATGCCTCACCCCTAACTTACACCTCAACCTGCCTTCACTCGCTTACAGCAGTAACAAACTAAGAATAAAATCTGGTTTACTGCTAGAAATTGTTTTGTTCTTCACTTGTGGGTATCAATCTGGCCAAAAGGTAATTTTAAGTCACAAGTGTTTGACTACAAGAAACTGCACCCTGTCAATGAACCTGGTGTCTGGACTGAGCTGCAATACAAAAATGGCCAGAGGGTACAACAGCCAATATATTGTGTTAACAACAACAAAAATAAGGACAATAATCTGCACGTAAATAGTGAAAGTATTGATAACACATGAGAAATTCAAACAGAGATGAAAATGAGAAGCTCTGCATAAATGCTTCTGAAGGGTTTTTTTGAAATTATGACATTTCTTTGATAAAAAGGCACCATGCCAACAGTACAATGTCTTTCTATATAACGGGAAGATAAACAGCAGAAGTGATATAAAGACTTTTATGGAAAGCATTTGGAAGAGGAATATAATAGGATAGACTATTGAACCAAAATCTGAATTCTTTCTAATGTGAATAAATATCAATTATGCTACTTACCTTCACCCCCAAATTAAGTGTTTATGGATTCTTACAGAATTGTATTCCAAAAAAAAAAAAAAAATCCAACCTAGGTGGTATACTACACATCTGAAAATTGATCAGCATGAAAATGACAGTTCCACTTATTTTTCTAATGTCATTTTTATTGATAGAATAATTTTGTCTTTTTGATATTGATTAATCTCACTGCTTTTATACTGACACTTTGTGATAGCATATCTGTTCTTAGAAGGAAATTACTGGAAAGTAATTCTTATATATAACACTAATATTTATTTAATAATATTATAATAAATATATATATATATATATTGATTAAATTTTACTATATTTATAGAGGAAGAGTGCTCAATAACAGTGATAGAGCATTTGTAAATACAGCATGGACATAAGAATCAACATTATCACTGTCAGTTTTATGCTTCAATGAAATCTTCAAGTTGATCTGAAGATTGCACTGAAGCATGTAATTCATATATATAATTTTCTGAAATGTGTAGCCCTGTCTTTAATTCTGAGCCATTAATATTTTTGATGGAGAGAAAAAAAAAAGACAAAAACCCCTCACCAGAGTCACTTCCCTGACTGATTTAAATGCATAGTCATCCTTGGTTGATATACAGAAAGCGGCACATCTCAAATGATTGCTTGCATCTTGAATCTGAAAGAAAGAAAAACAAATACAAAAATAAATTTGAAAGCAAAAAGAAAATAGAAAAGAAAGTTTTTCTTTCAAGATGATATTCTTACTTTACAAATGATACTCAATATCAACTTGATTTTTTTTTTCTTCTTCAAAATACAAACAAAAACAAATTACATGCATGGAATTTTATAAAATTATTGAATCCATTCACAAATGTTTTTCTGAATTTTCAAAAATTTTCCATCTGGCTATTGAATACCAGAAGAATAGAAAAGTTGATTTTTTGATATTAATGAATATAACCTCATCCTACATCATTAATTGGTTCCAAAGGTCACGACCTAAGTCAAAAAATGACTCAAGTCAAAATAACCACACTATAAACCTCAAATAAGTATTCCACACTGCCTATTATAGCATTCATTATGTGTACATACAGTATTCTGAATAAAATAATTAAAAATAATTAAGTAAAAACCAATTTTAAATTTATGTAAACTCGAGTAAAACAACCTAAGGCGAGTTTTAGTTTTCCATATAATATTTAAGAAAAACTGATGCGTATCTTTGCAAATGATTTAACTCTAAATGACCTAAGCCGAGACATCACTGTAGTAGTATTGTCCAAATCATGACCAGTGAATAATAAAACAATTTCAATATGACATCTGTTTATTTGAATGTACAAGATAAAGTAAATGAAACCCACACTGAAAAGAAAGAAAGAAAAAAAAACCTGTTCCAATTCTCCTGCATATCTGCACTAGAAATCTTCAAGTCACATTAAGAACACTCGTTTTTTCTTGTAAACCTACCACCTGTTGGTTTTGCACCAAACAGATGGCACTAATGTGTTAGGTTTCAGACATTACATTAAAGAATAATAGAACATCTGACATTTTGTCTCCACTAAACTTAGATAAAAACAGTTATAAGGTAACCAACACTACATCTACACTGAATGGCTGAGGTGTCATTTTCAATAGATTATCATCAAGCAGAAATTCAGTAAAAATTAGAATTGATTCAGGAAATAACATCATAAAACTTTACTATGCCATCTGCATATTTTAATGTATACAATATAACAGAGAGAGCAAAAAAATAAACCTTATATCTATGTACAATATATTTTGCATTTATGCAGCTACAAAGTAGAAGATCAACTTTTACAAGACATCGAATTTGCATGTCATTTGTTGCTCATTTATCACTGTATGGTTTCTCACAGAATTAACAGATGGCACCAGTGACATCTTTCAAGGCCTATCATGAATTTTTAAAGTCATTTACATATGCTAGTACATCAGACTAAATGGAAAGGAAGTCAGCCAAAAGACTCTTCCACCTTTTAGGTTTCTCAAACAATTGGTAGGTCTTGAAATTATTTTATAATAACCAAACAAGAAAAATATTCCATTTTTAAGGTATTTGTTGTCATGAACAACTGAGTAATAAAAGCATCTCAAGTATAGAAAGGGGGCAAGTTTCAACTCCTCCTCTACATCACAAGCTGCATACATAAGTCACTGACATGCATTTTTCCAGTTTCTACTAAAAACAACAATTCTAAAAAACAAATGACAGAAATTAATAATAATAATAATCTATACAGGTTGTACTTCTTTAATCTGGCAACATTGGAATCTGGCCACTATCAGATTCACAAACAGTGTTGGAATACAGAAACCAGTGGTTCCCAAACTTTTTTTTCTCTGGGACACATTTTTTGAAATGAAAATTTGCTCGCACATCAAATTTTATGTGTTAAAAAGTACATTTAAAAATAAAAATCAGAGAGAGCAAGGGAGGGGGGGTTAAAGGGAGATAACCGCAGATTCGAACTCAGAACATTATCATTGATAACTCTCTCCTCCAATTTACAGACCCTAGTTACTACAGTCTTACTACTTGATATAATGCAAAATTATCCCAATGATAAAATCAGTCAATAATTATTTATAACTATTTATACTAGGACTCACACATGCAATTACAAGTAATCCATAAGAATATTTGAAATTTTGAAATCATATTTATTTTTGGCATATGAATTTTTTGAAACTGTTTCTAAATCTTTGATTGTCTTTCAATCATTCAGCCTCACCTGCTAACCTCTTCCACTACACCTATAAGGCACACTGCATCATTTGGGAACCACTGCTCTATGGTAATGCCCTCCCTCCCTACACATGCTCAATTTCTAAACAAAGCTTGAAACAAATTAATGCTTCTAAACAAGGTTTTTATTCTTTCATCAAATATAAAGCATTAAAAAATAAGAGGCAATAGCAATTTATAAAATTCAGAAAAAAATAATTACTAATTTTAAGTTAAAATAAACATTGAAAGATGTCAAATTTAGAGTTCCTTTGATTCAATTAGGTTTTTAGGCATTTGATTTAACGATGAGGTTTACAAAGCATGGCCAAAAACTGAATCCAACAACTCTAGTAGCTAATCCAGAAACCAATTTAGAGGTGGGGTTCAATATGTGTCAGACAACAGGAGTGGCTTGACCAGAGAACACCAGATTAGAGAAGTATAACCTGTGTGTGTGTGTGTGTGTGTGTGTGTGTGTGTGTGTGTGTACACAAAAATCATACTTGTTGTAATTTCCAAGGTAAACTTTGATGAATTGATGTCTTAAACAAACTGTGGTGGTTTCCTTGTTTGTGTTTAAAGTTTATGTCCTGAAATAAAAAGAAAAGACAAAACTTTAAGAGCAAACATAAAAAGATCAAAATAATAAAACATTTCTTTTCTGAATCGTAACATTTAAGGGCTATGGAGATGCTTTTACAAAATGCAATTTACAGAAATTCATTCCTGTAAACATATCTAAATGAATTTAACTGAGAAAAATAATATTACTGAATGTATTATTATAGCAATGGGCCACTGTATCTGCTTTATCCCATATAAATGTGCTTTTAGGATAATTATGTCCTGTAGGATGTGCTGAAAACATCTGTGGGACACATATGTCCCAGGGGATTCGAAAGGGTTAAATACACCATGTCTCTTCAGGATGTAGGCAGTTATAGCTTTTTTCTGTGAATTTCTATGGAGAAGATACTGAAGTGGATACTCACTGACTTCACACTTTTCAATTCAGAGTTGACCTTCTAGACTGGCTGCCAATCAAGGTTAGAGAAGTCTGTCTAACCTGCTATTTAATCCATAGTTGGGGTAGAATAAGTGGATTTCTGCCATTCCCAAACACATTAGTGCAAATTAAATGCAGTCGGTGTGTGTGTGTGTGTGTGTAAATATGAGGTCTGTCTGGAAAGCCTAAAGCTATTTTGAATATCTTAAGAACTTGTGCAGCCTCCATGCAACTTGACACTTAATAAGAGGGAGCCTTACTGAACCTCATGCATGAACAGAAACTTTCCCCAAAGCAAAAATTGAATGCCATGGATGAGATTAAGGAGAATGCAACAAGGTAGGTGGTGGCACTTCCAAAGAGGACTTTAAAACCTTTCTGAAAAGTGAAAGGTTTGTTATGGTAAGTATCTACAGAAGTACTTTGAAGGAGACTAAGGTTCCAATGCCCTAGATAGGCTACTTTTTTTCTTTTTTTTTATATTAGTATTAAAATGGCTGGATACAGAGCTTGTATGTCAATGTGGCCTATGAATTGACAAGTATTTGAATACTTACTGCTTCAGTGATGTTGTCACCATGAAGGGTCAAGACACACCTGATGTGAGAAGCCCCACTGCAAACAAAATAAAAAATACCAATTTGAACATTTCAAACTATAAATTAAAATATTGTTTGAATGTTGAGATATCATTATTCATTTTTAACTCTTATTCCTTTCAGTTGCTTTCTACTGCAATAAGAACATCCATCTACAGTTATTAGAAAATCATGTAGAGCAGAAATAAACAGTAAGTTTTCAGCTTTATTCTTTTTCTTTCTCGGGAAGTCTATCTTACCATGGCAGTTGTTCTACCATTTCAGCTACAAGAGCCAACAGTTGTAGAAGATCAAGTCTCACCATATAAACTTATTTTTCTCAAATGCTTACTGCTTTCATGTTGTCATAATGTGTTGTATACATATACTAGTAGCATTATAACTGGTAATGTTATCTAGACTTTTTATTAGATAAAAACATTGCCTGTCTTTATGAGTGACACATTTCTTTCATCTTCATTTTAATTGCATGCTTTCCATCACAACTACACAGACTCTGCTTTTTCAGGTTTCTTAATAAACTGTGGTTAGGAAATAAACCAGTCCACTTGCTTGGATCCATTTGGCTTTATTGTTTCTCTTTGAGAGTCAGCCTGTACCAATAGGAGAGATTTTAGCTGCAAGAAAACTGGCCAGCATCCATTTTTGTGAGTTGACCTCAGGCTCTCAAGTTTTGAGTTGAAATAGTTGACTGCTTTTTGGTTGTGATTTGTAATGTGAGTTTACTGTTCGTCTCTGTTTGGTAGAGGTGTTTGCTTTTGATTTTGTGTCTACAGGACCAAGTTGAGCTCTGTTCAATCTCCGAAAAAAAAAAAAAAGAAAAAAAAAAGACTTCGCAGCAGGAGCATCCTCAAAACCTGTTCCATGCCGAGACTCTAATTCATTAAAATGAACTTGGTCAAAGTTGCCTTGTTTTTGTCTGTCATTTTGCAGATTAATTCTATGGGAGGGAGAGGTCTAGTGGACAGGGTTGGTTTTATTTTGGTTAGAAATGTTGGGCAGTCCTCTGGTCTCAGTTGTAGCAGTCTTTTAATGAGTGCTTCATATTGTCCGTGGTCCTGTATCTGGTGATCCCCTGCCCCACACTTGTGTATATAAGATTTAGTGTAGCTACTTGTAGGATTAAAATAGTGTATATATATTATATATCAATTGAGAATCCCCAAAACAGAAAAATCTCTATAGGTTGCACAAGCCATGAGTTCAAAAAGAGATTCAATCAACATCAAACTTTATTTAGGATAAATAAATACAGAAATCAGACATCCCTTTCAAAATATTTCTGGCACTTAAAAGAATCCAATAAAACACCTACAGTAAAATGGAAATTAATAAGAAAAGCTAGAATATGTAGGTAAGTCATTAAATGACCCATGTCCTTTGTGCATACATGAGAAACTATATATTACTAAGTTTATAAAAAATAAAAATTTACTGAATCAGAGAAATGAAATAGCTATTTTTTGCAGTCATTGTAAAAAATTTTCCTTAAATAATATTTAAAAATAAATTTAAAACATGGGAGCTGGTAATATACATACTTATATTTGATATGAAAAAGTAATTTTAAATAATTTAAGTAATTCTATTACATTTACTTGTTTTAAAAAGAAATATAGTCTATTAATAATTAAGAGAAAAATATTTTAAAATTGTAGTTAAATAAAATGTATTCTAACCCAAACACCCCAAGATTAAATCTTTAAGTATACAAGTATGGAAAAATGCCGAAAAACTTTTTGCCGTTAATAAAAAAAACCCAGACGACATGCATTTAAAGGATGTCAGAATTTGTTGAAAAATACACCCCTACCCTCCCTAAATTTAACCTCTTTTATGAACATAACTCAAAAGTTAATAAAAATGAACACGCTACCACCCCTGTCTGAATGATTGGATTTCTCTGTATCCTTGGAAACGAGATATGAATTTATGTGCGTGTTTAAAACTCAGTAAATTTAAAAATAAGTTATTCCAATATTTGCTTGAAGATGAAATGGAACTAATGGTTTTAATTTAATTATATAATTTGAAGTCTTTAGCTTCAGTTTTTGAAACATGGTTATCACTGTGTAAAAAAAAAAAAAAAAAACATATTTTAAATCAGTTAATTTATAATATTTATGCTCTGTATATTTACCTTTGAACACAGTTTTGTAAAAAAAAAACAAAAAAAAACAAAAAAAAAACAATATCAATAAGAACACCGGATTATATATCTTACTGTTCTTTCTATATATATATATATATATATATATTATTTATGTTTCACCTTGTGATATTTGCTCCACCCCAATTTGTACACTTGATATCTCTATTATACCCATTATCAGAGTGGGATTGAGGGGGGGGGGTCTTTTTGACCACATTTATTGCATACATACATTCTCATGGTGTCCAAAAGTCTTGGTTCTTTCAGAATTACTGGAGAGTAAGAATAGTGACATTTGCCTGTTGCCTTTTTAAAACTTATTCCTTTTGCATCTGTTGCTCTATAATCTATGATAGCCATCTTGATTTTATTTTATCCAAAGAAAGAGTTTGAGTTCAGGGATCTTCATTACTCAGAGTAACAAAAAGATGAAAACTAAAAAAAAAAAAATTTTGAAACGAAATCTCAACTGTATTTCATGGACTGACATATTGATAATATCAGGAAATTTTCATAAAAGATAGTCTTTTAAAGAAAATAGCGAATGTGTGGATATATATCTGACTTTTCTCTCTCTCTATATATATATATATATATATATATATATATATATATATATATATATATATATATATATATATGATAGAAATTATTAAGGGATTTGAATAATCATAATTAAGTAATTCCTCAAGTCTAGAAGAATCCTCAACAGAATGCAGAAAGGACTGGACATCCTATTTGGGACTCATTAACAGTGCACATCCACAACCAAGAAATGAATCCGGACCATTAAGATATGAGACAAACATAATATCCACTGGACAAACAGGTTTCAATGATGAAGAGGTAACAAATCAAACTCGATATAGCACTACTCTTCACAAATTCCGTCATATAACTTGTCCATGTTTACTTAGTCCAATGGACAAAGACCTGTTGGTCCAGTGGATATGACACTTGTGTCATATCATAATGATTCAGGTTAGATTCTCAATAGTGGATGCACACTGCTGATGAGTCCCAAAATAGGATGAAACAGCCGCCCAGTACTTTCTACATTCTGTTGAGGATTCTTCTAAATTCAATGAATTACTTATATATATATATATATATACACACACACACACACTTCTGTATTTGATAATTGCTCCAGCTGATAAATATGCAGTATTATTTTTTAAATTCTTTTGCATACTGTAAATCAAAGTAAAACATTATCAAATTTGGTTGCAATAAATTCCTATTTTGTTCATGTAAATTATGACATACACTCATACTAAAAAATTGTGCATTTGCGTGATATATAATAATATAATTGTAATGCTGAAATAATGAAACATTTGAAATTTATAAATATGAATAATAAGCAGAGGAACTTACTTGGGACCAGAAAGTAGAATTCTCTGTGGTTTAATACAACTAAAATTGGATTCTTCTGTATAAGACAAAAAGAAAAATAGTCTCCATTACAAAACCTTTAACAAAATTCTCTCAGTGCAGAATCTATTCAGCCATTTCCATATAAAAGATTTCTAGATTTTTCTGGATAAATTATTCATTTTTATGTGTTATGAAACCCAAAACCAAATAAAATCTTTAGTTTCAGAACTGGAATTTTAAATCTACATAAAATTCATAAATGCAATTAACTTCATGAAGAATTTTGCTTGACTGTCACAAAATGTATGACAACATAATACAGAAACAGTAAATGACAAGTTTAAAAAGTATTTCACAAAATCAAATTTGTTAGTATCACCATAAGTATGGTTAAAAGTGCCAGATCAACAAGGTCTCGACAATATTTACATTCATTCGATACAGATATGGCTACAGAAACTCATTAACACTTGGTTGGTATTTTGAGATGGCTTCTTGGTTGCTGTTATTATTATAACTCTACCCTGGTTTGGTTTCCCATTTCAAGTTTCTTTTTCTTATAGTCATTCATGAGCACTGCTGAGTTTTGTTAAGGTACGTGGTGGTTTCTTTTTTTCCTTTTTTTTTGAAGGCTCTCTATAGGTAGGGTTTGTTTTTTTACTTTCCCTTTTGGTTTATTCTGGTTATAGCTTCCACTAAATTAGTGATAGAGGACTATTAATATTACACTGAATTTAAGATACACACACACACACATATATATATATATATATATATATATATAACCTTGTATCCATTTTTTTTCCCCATCATGAAAATTACTTGTGCTGCTACCAGTTTGTTGACAGATCAAGGTTTGAATTACCTATTTAAGGAAAGCACATTCCTTGTTGGGATATCTACTAGTTTCAGTTTTGTACCTGAAACATTAAGCATTATTTTTCATTACTATAAATGATAATGTTTGTGTACGAGACAAACTAGCAGATATAGATTTGTAGAAGTCCTGAGAAACACAGTTTCATTAAATAGGTAGTGTGTGTGTATATATATATATATATATATATATACACACACACATACTAGAGATGTGTGGTTTAACCGAAGTACCAACTTTTTGGTTTCATCTTCACACCATGAAACCACATCGAAATTTTTTACGAAACGGAACGATTTGTTTCGTTTTTATATCGCTACTAAGTGACCATATACAAAGAAACACTATTGAAAAAGACTTTCAGATGTTAATAAAATTAAATTTCATCAACATTTATACCATTTGTTTACAAAAGAAATGAATAAAAAAGGAGATATGTCTGAAAGTGAAATCTATTTGTTTCAGTTTAAAAAAAAAAATTTTTTGCAGTCAAGTTAACAACAAAATAGTGAGTAAAACTAAAAAAAAATAGTTGCCAGTTTCGTTTTAATGTTAAATTTTATGAAGTTGGGTTATTTGTAAGGGTTTTCTAGTAAGCCATTACACCAATCACAAAATAAAGTTGTTGCAAACAAGAAAAAAGAATGAAGATTTTTTTATAAATAAATTTGTTTTTTTATCTAGGGTGTACAACTAAATTAGATATTAAGAATAATTAAAATAGTTCTTAATTTCACTTTTAAGATGTGTATATTTCCAGATAAGCAAGTCACTGTTTTCTACAAATAAAATCATGTTTCTATCTAGTGAATACATATAAAAAAATAAAGTAAGTTTTAATCTCAGTTTTAAAATGTGTATATTTTCAAAACTGCAAGTCATTTTTTAAACCCAAATTATTCTTTTTTATCCACTAGTGTTTGGTGAGTGTTTGTTACTGTTCTGCCTATAAAATTCTTCTGAACAAGGAAAATTAATTCATTTTATTTTTACAAATATCTTTATGGTTTTATCTAGCGAATACACTTAAGATTATATATTTAAAATGATTAAAATAGTTTTTAATTTCAGTTTTAAAATGTGTATCTAAAAAAGAACAGGTGATACTCTTAGATTTGCAAATCTACACATTCTAAAACTGAAATTAAAAGCTTTTAATTATTTCTGAATTTAATTTTAGGTGCATTCACTAGATAAAAACAAATTTATCTAAGGGAAAAATAACTCATTGGTTTTCCTTGTTAAGAAATTTATTTGAAAAACCTCATTAATAGTTGACTGGTGTACCAGAAAAGAATTGCTGCTTCCCCCACCCCCTTACATTATAATTTTTGAAGGAATTCACTTCCTCAAGTCAGAGTAAAAATGAGCATCTTCTTGGTTGTAGTTTAAGCTGTCTTCTAATTGAGTGTACAATTGCAAGAATATTGATAAAGATTGGTCACTTTGATTTTGTGAAACAAAATAACATGTAAAATTTAATAAAAAAAAAAAAAAAATCATTTTGCATTTTTGGCTGGGCGAAGCAATACCGTTTTTATATCGTTGTAAATTAGGTACCTCCACAAAATCGCTAAAAAAAGAGCATAGCTTGATGAAAAAGACGCCAACCTTGCCGAAAACAAAATTTCATTATCTAAATGCTTATTATTAAGAGGAAAGTTTTTTTTAATTATTTTTAAAAATTTTTCCTTCTTTTTAGAACATTCTAAATTTTGATTAAAAAAACCTTGTTTCTATTTGTATCAGTGGAACTAGTAAATAACAGACAATTTTTGGCACGTTTTTTTGGTATGACACACATTAATTTGAAAAATCGTGCAAAAATAGAAATAATTGTCGGATGTTAACGAAACTTTCAGGAACTATTCACAGATGATCGAAATTATTATAAATATGTTTTTTTTTATTAAAGTCATGATAGAAATATTTTTTATTACCCCCACCATAACTAATTTTATGAAAACGCTAGAAATTCGATTGCATCAGGTTTAGTGATTACAGCAATTAAAAGCACAGGGCTTTGAGGAATGCAAATCATGTTTTTTTGTTTTTAATTGGATCCGCAGTACCTGAAAATCAGCTCTGAATTGTAACATACAAAACTCAATAAAACAAATATATTATTTAATTTCAAATGCTTTTATTGCTTTTTTAGTTGTTTTTTATGAATATGGACAATATTTTCTGAAAGCAAAAAATTTTTTTCGATGAAAAATGAATTTTTAATACAATTATTTGTTATTTCTTTAATTATAATAGATTTTACATTTAAGTTGTTAAAATATTATAAAATTAGTTAAAAGCTGCATCGACTTTCCTAAGTGTCCTTATGAGAGAGATCTTTTTTAGCACGTTGTAAATTGTATCATTTTGACTAATCAGAAGATCCGCAGTAATTAAGAAATGTAATTTTGTGCTTATAACCGGGCTGTAATTATAAAGTACGGAAGACCAACCAGAATATAATTAAGTTGCATTATTTGAGTTAAGCATTGTTCTCCGCTGTTCTTTACTTTTGCGAAACACGTGTGGAGAAGTTAATTTGATTTTTCAATTTCAACTGAGAAGGGTACCTACAAGTATCAGTATCATCTTATGAAATTTATATGATCTTATTTTTATATTAATCTCAGTTATGACATTTTTCCATAAATGAAATATCAAAATTAATAATAAAATGAATGCAAATACAAATAACAATAAAATGTAATAAATGTACATAAAATTATAGTATTTTATGTACAGTTCTGATAAAATTTCATAAGAAAGGTACCTATAAATTAGATACCTTTCTTAGGAAATATGAAATTTAATGTCACTCTTAACAGTCTTATTTTAATTTCTTTAGAATATATTTTCCATAAAGCATCATAAACGTAAAGGTGAAAGCTAAGTACAAAAAAAAAAAAATTAGACCACTGAAAGTTTTCATTAAAAATAACGTGGTAAATAATTTGTTCACTTAAATGTAAATTATTTCACTTTTCTCCTTCCGTAGAACAAATTAGCCTCATTCATCACCTGTCGAGAGACGCGAAAGTTTATGACCTGCTTTGTTTTATTTTCAAATTACATCTTTTTGGCACAAAAGCTAAGTTAAGTTTGGTTCAAAATATTTTAAATAAACATTATAATTTCTGATTTTCTTAAAGTAAGTTTTGAAAAAATGATAATCGATATTTAAAAGAATTTCAAAGTGAGATTTCCAGTTTTTTTTTAAAATGGAAAAAAATAGTTAATTTTGCTGACTCAAAAAAAAAAAAAAAAACTAGATTTTTAACGAAAATTTCGGACGTGCTAGGAATGATTAAAAAATGGGAAAAAATACCCCCAAAATACTTTGATCTTTCCTCTTAATAAACAAACATTTAGATGATAAAATTTTGTTTTCGTCAAGTTTGGCATCTTTTTCATCATGCTATACTCTTTTTTTAGCGATCTCGTGGAGGTACCTACTGTAAATAAATAATTCAATGAATAAAAGCACATACAAATTACATATTTAGAAAGATTATTTTCTTTCCAACCATATGAATATTTTTAAGACTGGACCAGAAATACATGAGAAATTGCAGGTTGAACAGACTAAGTTTCAAATATATCAATCTCAAATGAAATGAGATATCGAGTGGAAATGCTATCATTACACAAGAAAATGAATGGCTTCCTTAGAAAGCAAAAATACTAAATTAAAAACTGAAAAATCCAATTGAAAACCACAGTAACAAGGAAAACAAAACCGAAAACCGATACCAAAACATAAATTGCCAAACTGACCAACTCTAATATATACACATGCACGTGTGTGTGTGTATCCACTGCACCTGTTTAACCCCATTTTAAGTATCTTCTGATTAAATATCTCCTGTTATATTCCTATTGCAAACTCTTTCAAGTGTTACATTGGCAAGGTGAGGAACTGCTATGAGTTTGGAGATCATAAAAAAAATAAAATAGCAAAGACTAAACAGCAACACTACAAAGAGAAGGAAAAACAATGAAGTTCTAGAACCAAATGCTAAAAAATACAATTCAAAGAATTCAGAATAAAAAGAAATATTCTCACCAGATTCTTTGTCTTTTTCTGTAAGGAATCTTTGACTGCATTCCTGCAAAAAAAAAAAAAAAAAAAAAAAAAAATGACTAAATGAAAACATAATTGTGAAAGTCAAATCTAGAGGCAGTAAGAAAGTGTTGATTTGAAATTTGACAAAACACAAATAGAAATTCATTAGATCAGACTGCACATTGTGTGACAAGGTGTCAGCTGAAACTATCCTAAGCATGTTGTTTATTTTGGAATTAACCGATTCTGTTTCTTGGAACATTTTTCAGTATTTGCACACATATTTGTCAATTTATATGATGGATGATTTTTCTAAAAAAATCAAATAAGAGAAGAAAACTTCTGCTGAAACGTGTAAAACATCCAACAGTTCTTAAAAATGAAAGAAGGTCAAATCCAAGTAGTACAGAAGTGGTTGTCAGGGTTCAAAAATGTGGTAGAATGTCACTTGGAAGTCAACTATGGATTAGCTGACCTTCAAGAAGACAAAATGAAGATAATTTCCAATAAGGTTTGCCAAGCAGTAAATTTTAATAACAGAAGATTGAAATTAAAACATTTCTGCATTCAAAGATTTGATTCAAAGAGCAACATGTTTGGCATCATTGAAATTATGCAGAAAACTTGGAGCTTTAAATCTCACCTGCTTTCTTCTGAATGTTGTTGCTGATACTTGTCATTCTCAATTGCACTTTCTTATATTTCTAGATTGGCATCTGTCTGAATTTCTGGGATGAAAAGTTATTATGTTCTCATTTTCATTGGTATCGTGTTTCGTCTGTTGTGCTCTCTGCCTTCTTCAGATATTTTTTGATTTAGGTAATCTACAGGGAAATTGGAACTAAATTCTTCATTTATTCTACTGGGTTATATTGTTCTAATTCTGATGGCCATGTCTAGAAATATTGTGTCTTGTTTTATTTTTTAGTACTTCTCCTTTATTGCTAGTCCTGTTTCCAATGCAGTCAAAACTACCTGGCCTGTGGATTGAACTCACAAAAATTTTAATCCTTTTGGCTATTGTCCTGTGGAACAATCCAAAGCTAGAACTTGAAGCTTTAAAAATAATGTTCTTCTTTCTGGTTCCCAAGATCACTAGTGTGAAAATGAACACAACAGACTGGAATTTTTACTCAGCTCACCCTTTCCCTCCCACTATGCCAATAACCATTGGACTAATTATACCTCCACACTGCCTTTTATTATAATCAAGGAAATTTACACTGTCTCTTACAGCATTGTAAAATTTCCTTGATTTCAAATTTGCAATTAAATTTGCATTTGACATTTTTACTGATCTATTTTGCTGCAAATTTGTGTTGTTCTGCCATTAGCATCATTTTTCATCAAAACTGTTTAAAAAAAAAAAAAAAAAAGATGAAAATACTGGCTTCATTAAATCCTTTCACAACAGATGATTCATTCTTCTCTGTTTTTGTTAAAAGTAGAAAACTTTTATGACTAGCCTAGAAAATATGACTTTTGATTGTACCTTTTGCCCATACAATGAATTGAGTGTTGTTCTATTTTCAAACTACATTTTTAGCAATTCAAAATATTTCAACCTTGAATTGATGTGATTTTTATGCTTTGTTTTCAGTTGTGACTCTAGACGATCACATTTTATTGGTTCATTGGTCAAACATTGTTCACAGAATAGTCAGAAATGATAAGCTTTCATCAAGCAAAACGGAGCTTCAAATACAGTTGTCTCACATACTGATAAATTTTTTTGTTAACAATACTCAACATTAGAAAGAAAAACTGTGGTAAACTGAATGAAAGCAAACATACAGCACATATATTATGTTGCTGTCAGTATTATTTAAGTAAATTTTGAAATGTGGTGAAATCACCTCCTTCCTGAATAACAAACTTTACCACTTAATTACATGAATAAATGTGAAATTGGAGGTCAATTCTCCTATGAATTCTGAGGTTAAAAGGTCAAAACTCTACTTTATAGTAATTTACACACAGTATTTACTCTATCTCCCCTTCCGAGACAACATGTGACACAAGGTCTTTTTTAAAATGGGGACCTGAGCGCATACACCCAGGTGAGGGACAAAAATTGCCCACATCCCCTGCAACTGTCAGTTGTACTGGCCTCAGTGCAAGCACAGATTCCTCTCTCTAATGCCATGAGAGGGCATGGCCTCAAGCAGCTATTCCCCAGGACTGGGCACCTCTCAGTATAATTTTCCTCAATTGCCTTTCTGTCCTTTGACAGAGTAGCCCCTGAGTGCACTCTGCCCAAAGACAGAAACACAACTGAGAGATGATAAGTAAACATGAAATTACCCCAAAAGAGTAGATATTTACTCCACTCCCCACGAGGTCAGGTTGTGACACAAGGTGGGTTTAATGTGGGGAGCCCGAGCATGTACACCTGGGCAAGGAACAAAAATTCCGAGTCCCTGCAACCATCAGTTGCACTGGTCTCAGTGCGTGCACCGATCCTCCTCTCTAGTGCAATGAGAAGGCACAGCTGTTCCCCAGGGCCAGTAACTCTCAATATAATTTTCCTCAGTTGTGACTGTCCTTCCTTTGACGGAATCACCCCTGAGTGCACTTTGTCCAAGGACAGTGATGCAACTGAGAGATGATAAGTAGACATGAAATTACTCAAAAAGAGTAATTTACACACTAAAAGCTCAATATCTGAATTATATATTATCTACTTCTAGGCGATATCACTTTTCAGGTTTAACTAATTTGCATATTGATTTTAAAAAGTATATTTTATTAATTAATTATCCTTCATTACTGTTCTTTTATTCGAGGATTGTTTTGATTTTCATATCAAAAATAGTTCTATTTAGAAATATTGTCTTATATAATGCAGAAAAGTGTTTGAAATTTGCATTTTACTTGGCCTTCAACAAGTTGGCATCTATTTGTAAAACTTTCCTTAAATATAACAAGCCTGCCCCCACACTAACAAATTAATTTCTTCTGTCTTTACAGTCATATTCTTTGAACAAATATAGTGAATGTCCACAACCCCTTCAACATTTCATAAATAGTGAACATTAATCCCATAGAAAAGCAACTAATTTTTCCTAGAAAAATTACCAGATGGCGAACGGACGAAGCCTACTAGTTATCAAATAAATGCTATTGTAATTCAACAGGAGATTTTCACTCAGCATAAAGCTGCCAAAGTTCTGTCACATGTCTTTATTACAAACTAAGAACATAATAGTTGGCTAAAGACATTGGATGCCAACCATTTCCAATAGTAACTTGAGGTTGAATATTAAAAGGTAAAAAACGTTGTCAGATTCATAAAGTAAGCGATGATAAACAGAAGACCAATGTTGTGAAAATAAATGTAATTCATTTTATATTCAACAAGGACAATTCTTGGTCCACTGGTTGCCATCATGAGTATCCTCTTGTAAGGGAGGAGTGTAGAAACAAGGCATTTCCCTGCTTCCTACCTAGGATCAGACATCCTCACTTGAAAGGGAGGGGCCTTGAAAAGTGTAATCTTACAGAGGCCAGCAATAGAAGTTACAGAACTATGGCCTTTTAATATGATACATGGATGCCACCAAGATATATTTAGAATGTATCCCCCTTGTCTCCCTGGAAAGGTGACAGCAGGCACCTAGTTTTACCAACCTTTTCTACACGTAGTTTTAGACTGAAAAATCAAAAGATAAGGCAAGGAACATAAGTGATGATAGCTTGGAGAAGATTCCTATAGCAATTTAAATTGGTCATGATTAGGGCAGCAATTTGTAGAAAAAGGGAAAAAAATTTTGTGATTTAAGTGAAGAATATCTGAACAAATCTGAAAACTTTTTCTTTAGGGTTTTGGTTTGGTTTACAGCATATCAACCTCAAATGGTTATTTAATGCCAATAAGATTTTTATTGCTGGTGATATTTTTTTCCCCAAAATGTATTGCTGGTATTAAAACCTATTTTTATAATTTCATAGTGTTTTGACCCTTTGGGGGTGAGGGGAGAGTTAACTATATATAACTGGGACCCTGACTGGTGTTACCATCCTGGGTCAGTGTGGACCTTGGAATACTAGCAATTAAGAGGTTGTTTCCACACTCCTCAAAACATTCTGTCAGATGTAGTTTATTATCATACCAGGATGACATTTTTTTTTTAAAGAATCAATCAACTACACCTTAACATGACAGTTCTTAACTGCAGAATGATTTACACTCTTCTCACCAAAATTCTAAATTGACCTCATGTTTAGAATCAGTACAAGAGGTCATTCTATTTACAAAGTCTTGTGCTAAAAATGATCTTTATAACATCTAGAACTTATACAATCATGACCAAAAATCTAAACCCACTTTGTAACAAAAAAAAAGCAAAAAACAATCTGTCATATAACTAAAGAGACTTCATGGAAATGCAGATATTTATAGTAATATAAAGAATAATTAACATGTGTCTTGTATCAAAATGACTTTTACAATATCTAAAATACTTAAAATGTCCTAAAATTTGAAACCCCCTAAAAGATCTAACTGTAATGACTAATAGGAGGATACTGGGAAAATAGAGGCATTTATCCCTTGACCATGAATATGTCAAACAAAGCAGCACCTGTTTCACACACACACACACACACACACACTGACTCTTACACACATCACTGAACATCACTGCTTGGCAATGTTTGATACCAGGCAACTACATAAAAAAAATGAGCTAAATGCTCTGTGAAATGTTTTATCTATCATTAAAAGAAGGTCATGTAATCACACTTTTTGACTAATTAACATTTGCATAAGCCAAGAAATATGAGAATTACATTATCAGTAAATATAGAGGAAACAAGGCTGTTCTTATGTTACCACTTATATCTCATTTTTAAAATGTTTAGTCCAAAACAGAAACCTATATTTTTGCATTCAACTTCAGTTCAGCTCAAAAAACAATGAAAACTATAATTTACTTACCGCCAATGTATATTGCACCTGTTGGAGAACATGTTGCAACTCTTCATTAAGCAACCAGTTTAGTTCTTTTCTCTGAAAGCAAAAATAGAAAAATATTATTGAACTGTTTAAACACCCACCCATAGGCAAGAATGAGTAAAAAATTATTCAATTTCAAATATCTTATTCTTGAATTTTTTAAGCTGAAAGACAAGAAAATGTTGCAAAATGAATTCCAATCAAATAAAAATTTATCAATTCATCAAATTTTAATAAATAAAAAAAAAAAAGTTTTCAATTTTTTTAAAAAACTTAATGCCATAAATCTATATTTTAGAAACAACAAATAAATTTCTATTCAGCAGCAGAAAATGTTGACAATTATAAATATTTTGTAGTGTTTGTATTCTTTAATTTCAGTTGCTCTTTATTGCAACTCTCGGATGTTCATTCTATTAGTAAATAAAGCTGATAAGAAAGAAGAATTAAGCATTTGACAAAAACCAGACATTTTGCCTCGGGGGGGGGGGGGGGGGAACCTGTCAGTTACCATCTTGATTGAATGACAAAGCCTCCTGAATGCATTCATTCACAACTCTCTAACCAGAGAGAGAGAGAGTTCTCATCTTCAGAGGCAGCTTAATACATTTTGTCACACACAATATTGATAACAGTAATACTTTTCAATTAATGACACATCACCTAAGAAATTTAAAATATTATACATATATTACTAAAGCTTTATCAGACTGTTGGAGAAGATACGGAAAGATTAAGATTAGATTTGAATAATTGCATTCAAAAGGTTCTGTGGTCTAAATATTAAGGCAGTTGTCATGGTAAAGCAGACTTTCTGAAGAAAAGGAGATAAGAGTTCAATTCTCAGAGGAGGTTTACTCTATATTTCCAATCACCATTGTGATAAGAAGCAGAACTGAAAAGAAGATGAAAGAAATATCAGTCAAAAATACTTCATCTAAGAAATAATAAGTAAATAAATAAATAAATGCAGACATATTTCCATTACCAATTAAAATAGTAATAGTGAGCAAAATTAATGCAACAGACAAAGTCTAGTTTAATAATCATTTAAATTCAAAGATGAAACTGTAACCAAGAAATTAGGTTTATATTTATTGGTGTCACAGGTTGAAGAAATAGGTATTGAAAGTTTTACTCCTAATATAAAACTGGATTGTTCAATTCTATTTGAAAATGCTCTACAATATTCTTTCATAATACAACCATTGTGCTTGTATTTATATTAAGAGAAGACATTTCAGTTCCAAGATTTCAGAACTCTAAAAGGTAGATGATGACAGGAAAAGGATTTAAATAAATTAAGAAACAACATTTCTTTCAGCCGAGATATATTCACTACAGACAAATGTCTGTCAACAGTGTGTAAGAGAAAAGCTGAGTGTCTGAGTGAATTGGAAAAAAATTACCATTTATTCATTTGTTACTTTCATTTCCTTCAGTTTACATAAAGTTATCTTTAAAAAGAAAAACAACTGAAATTAAGAAATACTTGACAAAATGTCACAATAAGCTGTAGGAAAAAAAATAAAAATCAAGATAATATTACAATGAAAGAAAGTTTATAAGCAAGAATAATCAATTCACTTCCAGCTGGTACATTAAGTTGAATAAAGTTTCTATTCAAAGTCTCTCATGGAAATCAAGGCCCAGTTAGCGATAAATCTTTTATAGATAGCATATTACCACTAACAGCATTTCCCTTGACAACATATAATATCCGACCACTCCAACTTAATATATTAACAAAATGTTGTTAGATGGTTTCAACAATGTTAGCAGAACTTTATCCAAGTTCATTTGGGTCAAGTTTTCTTTTTGTTTATTTATTACATATTTGTGAAATTCTGACATTTACAGAAAAAGTCAATCTTATATAATATCAAATATGATAGTTTAGAACTTAGCATATTAATGCAAATTTTAATTTTCATTTAATGCATGTGCTTCTGGTTAAATGAATTTTCTCTTTACATATTCCCACAATACATTCATTGAATATTTGTTTTCTGCTTCTGTAATAGTGAAAAGATTTCAATTTCCAGTCATGTCAATTAGATTTTAGGATCATGGAAAGAAATGACAAGATGAATTTGCAGCTTGTACATTAAGTGAAATAAGATTGAATTCAAAGAGCACCATGGAAATCAACAATCAATTCAGTTGTGAAGCTTTTAAAAAAAAGAGCTTATTATATAATCATTTGTTGGGATGAACTTTGGCAGTTTCAATGAGATCACAGCAAAATAGTTGGCATAATGAATGTTTTATGTCTTCCAGCAGATGCATCATTGGTAGTTAGGGTGCTGATAAGGTAGACTGTCATAGACTGTAGAAATGCACAGACATACCTTAGATGGTAAAGAATAAAAAATTCAGAGATAAATACTAATAAAATAATCTGTTAATTTCCTTATAATCTTCTTTCTAGAAATTAATCTTTCCATTCTGCCAGTTTATAAAAATCTCTTTATTTTGTTCCTTGTCTTTGATGGTCAAAATCACATTTTTACTGTTTTTGTTTTATTATTTATTCTCTTATAATTATCTACAAAAGGCTATTGTGTCGTGATTTCCTATAAGTGCATTCATTATAACATTTGTATTTATGACTATAACTTCAAATAAAGATCTTATTTTCAAACCAGATTCATTACACTTTGTAAATACTTTGAGATCTGACCAAAAAATTATTAAATATTAAAAGAAAAACAAATATGAAATTTCAAAAGTAAACAAAAATTGTGATTCTGACATTATTTTGTTGCCTAACTTTTGGATAACTTATAAATTAGGTTTCTGTCTATATTTCTGAGATGAGGTATTATGTACACTATTTACATTATTTGGACTATTGTCCTCATCTTTGACGTCATATTTATTACAACGTTTCGGCCTTTCAGTAACTGTCTATATTTCTGAGATGAGGTATTATGTACACTATTTACATTATTTGGACTATTGTCTCCATCTTTGTCGCCATATTTATCACAACGCGTTCGCCTTTCAGCATCTGTCTATATTTCTGAGATGAGGTATTATGTACACTATTTACATTATTTGGACTATTGTCTCCATCTTTGTCGCCATATTTATCACAACGTTTCGGCCTTTCAGCATCTGTCTATATTTCTGAGATGAGGTATTATGTACACTATTTACATTATTTGGACTATTGTCTCCATCTTTGTCGCCATATTTATCACAACGTTTCGGCCTTTCAGCATCTGTCTATATTTCTGAGATGAGGTATTATGTACACTATTTACATTATTTGACTATTGTCTCCATCTTTGTCGCCATATTTATCACAACGTTTGGCCTTTCAGCATCTGTCTATATTTCTGAGATGAGGTATTATGTACACTATTTACATTATCGGACTATTGTCCTCATCTTTGTCGCCATATCTGTCACAACGCTTCGACCTTTCAGCATCTGTCTATATTTCTGAGATCAGGTATTATGTACACTATTTACATTATTGGGACTATTGTCCTCATCTTTGTCGCCATATCTGTCACAACGTTTCGGCCTTTCAGCATCTGTCTATATTTCTGAGATCAGGTATTATGTACACTATTTACATTATTCGGACTATTGTCCTCATCTTTGTCGCCATATCTGTCACAACGTTTCGGCCTTTCAGCATCTGTCTATATTTCTGAGATCAGGTATTATGTACACTATTTACATTATTCGGACTATTGTCCTCATCTTTTGTCGCCATATCCGTCACAACGTTTTGACCTTTCAGCATCTGTCTATATTTCTGAGATCAGGTATTATGTACACTATTTACATTATTCGGACTATTGTCCTCATCTTTGTCGCCATATCTGTCACAACGTTTCGGCCTTTCAGCATCTGTCTATATTTCTGAGATGCGGTATTATGTACACTATTTACATTATTCAGACTATTGTCCTAATCTTTGTCGACATATTTATTACAACGTTTCGGCCCTTGTACGCTCTGGCCTTCTTCAGGTGGTTGGAATGTTGACCTGAACCCTTTTTTTTCCATGTGCCATGTTTTAATGGTTGTCAGTTGTCTACTGTTAATTGGCACAGTGGATAAAGGCGTTAGTTAGATCCACTGACAGGACCTAAAGAGTGTGAGTTCAATACCCGGTTAAGGCAGTGGAGAACTTGGAGAGGGAAATTAACAGGAGATAACTGACAACTGACATCCATTAAAACATGGCACGTGGAACTAGAACAGGCTACCCCAGTGAGAGAAATAAAGGGTTCAGTTCGACATTCCAACCACAATAAATATGGTGACAAGGATGAGGACAATAGTCCAAATAATGTAAATAGTGTTCATAAATTAGGTTTTCCCAATCAATAATTTAATGTTCATATAAAATATATTATGTAAACATTGGTGGGTAATCAATATTTTCTTTAATTATTGATATAGAAGAATTCTTAAATAATTCTAAAACATGTTTTTTCCCTCCTTTTCATCTAATCTTCAAATTAAATTAGGGTTAAGGTTAAGCTTTTAACAAGATGGCAACATTTTAACTAGTTGAATGCAAGAAGGTTTAAATTGAGCTTCCTACTTTATTTGAAAATCATTTCTATCATTATTAACCCTAGAACACTAACCATGGGTATATAGTACCCATCGCAAATTTTCCTATTTTAATTACAATTTTCAGTACCTGATTTTCTTACCTCAATAATATGCTTTTCAATTCCTATTAATGTTAACTCAAAGTACGAAGTGCCTGCATGTAAAATATTTCAAATAAAGATTTATATTTAATATTTTTTTTTTGATATTTTCAAAATCGGGTATGATATATACCGATGGTTATTAGTGGTGTAACTTTAATTGAAGGTTAGTGTTCTAGTGTTAATAAACATTTGGATTTTATTTAAATGTCTGTGAAAGGAGATTTCACAAAGTATTTAACTCCAATCTAAATTTTTCATTGAATTTTTATTGCAACAATATACAAACAAAACACTGAACTCGGTTATTTTTGTTTTTTTTTTCCTGAGGACTTTTCAGTTAATAATTATTGAATGGTCAACTTTATG